TAAGGTAAAAAATTAAAAAAAAAAAAAAAAAACCAGATTGACTACAGCTGAAAGTAGATTAGTGAACTGGAAGATGGGCCAGTAGAAAATATTCTGACCGGGACCAGCAGTTGGCGTAATGGCTGTGTTGCTGGACTCCCATATAGTTGACCATGGTTTGAGTCCCGGACCTGGTGGCTTAAAACTCACGCCAGGCACATATGCGTGTGTGCCCAAGATCTCGAGAGGAGAATGGAGGAGAAGGGATTGCGGCATGGCCATTTCCCCTGGGGAGTGACTTCTTGCTTTCTATCTCTCTGTCTTTCTGGCGAGTGCACGTGCCCTATAGCAAAAAACAAAAACAAAAACAAACAAAAAAACCCTCCCCCCCCAAAAAAAAACAATCTGACCAAAATGGGATATTCTGACCAAAGTATAAATGGAATGTAGACAAAAGTGCTGGACTTACATAAGACACAATTCAAATGCCTAGTAATACATATAATTCCGGTCACAGAGGGTGGAAAAATACATATAATTCCCGTCACAGAGGGAGTTAACATGGTATTTCAAGAAATAATGACTGAGAATTTTTAAAATTTAACAAAAAGCATCAAGCTATAGTTTAAAAGGCACTAAATTCAAAATAGAAAAACTACAAAGAAAAATACTTAGAGGAGCTTGAACTGTTAAAAATCACAGGCCAAAGGAAAAAATCACAGGCAAAGTAAAAATATGAAAAGCCAACTACAGGAACCAGCAGTTAGCGTAATGGCTATGTCGCTGGACTCCCATGTAGCCAACTGCAGTTCGAGTCCCGGACCCAGTGGCTTAAACTCACGCCAGGCGCATGTGCATGCATGCCCAAGATCCCGAGAGGAGAATGGAAGAGAAGAGATTGCAGCGTGACCATCCCCCCTGGGGAGTGATTTCTCACTTTCTATCCCTCTGTCTCTCTCTGTCTTTCTGGTGAGCACACGCCCCTGTAGGAAAAACCTCTCAAAAAAAAAAGTCAGCTACAGAAGGGCCAGCAGGTGGTATGGTGGCTCAGGTGTTGGACTCCCCTATAACCAAGTGCAGTTCGAGTCCTGAACCTGGCAGCTTGGAAATCATGCCGGGCGTGTGTGTGTGTCCACCTAAAATCTCAGGAGGAGAATGGAGAAGGGATTGTGCCACTTGGGGATAATTTTTCACTTTCCCTCTCTGTCTCTCTCTCTCTGGTGAGCAAAAACCTTTTAAAAAAATTGCAGCTAGAGAAAAATGATATGTTATTCTCAGAAGATTTATAAGACTGAAAGTTGATTTCTCAGAAACAATGGAAGCCAGAAGATGATGCCGTGACATTTTAAGTACTGAAAAGAATATAACCTCTACTTGTAGTTTATACCCAGTGAAAATATCTTTCAAAAGTAAAGGCAAAATAAAAACATCTCAGACTATCCAAACTGAGAAAATTTATCTCAACAGAACTATTCTTTTTTTTGGGAGAGGTTTTTTCTTTATAGGGCGCGTGCATTCGCCAGACAGACAGAGAGACAGAGAGACAGAAAGCGAGAAATCACCCCTCAGGGGTTATGGTCACGCCGCAATCCCTTCTCCTCCATTCTCCTCTTGGGATCTTGGGTATGCACACACACGCACCCGGCGTGAGTTCTAAGCCACCGGGTCCAGGACGTGAACCATGGTCGACTACGTGGGAGTCCAGCGACATAGCCATTACGCTAACTGCTGGTTCCCAACAGAACTATTCTAAAAGAAATAATAAAGGCAGATAAAAATTTCACACAGAAACATGGAACAAAGGGTAACAGAAAGAACAAATATGAGTATATCTAAATCAATTTGACTATCAAATTAAAATAGGAATGTCTCATTAAATATAAGGTACATATACATAAAATGTGTGTGGGACTATAATCTATGATTCTAACACAAAAGGTAGGAAAGGGCAAATGGAGTTCAAGTGCTCTAAGATCCTAGCATTGAGTGAAAAATGATAAAGAGACTGATTTATATTAGACTCTTAATAAATCAGGAATACATATTGCAATCTCGTACTCACTATGAGTTATTTTGAACAAGCAGAAAATAATAGAAGAGATAAATGGAAAACAAGTTTAAATACTTGATTAACCCAAAAGAAGGCAAGGAACAAAAGGAAAAAGAACATTAAAGCATGGTGAACAGAAAACAGAAAGTATGTTTGTAGATATGGTCACACTTACCCTATAATTACATTAAATATAAATGGTATTTTTCTTTAAAAATAAATGTTGTCAGGCCAAGTAGAAACTTAAACTTGTCCTGCTTTCAAAAAACATCTCAAATATAAGGACACAAAAATATTGAAAGTTTAAGGGTGAATCCAGTCTAGCAGCACAGTGAAAAGCAAATTGAACTGCAGTGCTGAAAGACACAGGGCCATGACACATGCCCTAGGGTGTTTACACTCACTGGAGACAGAGAGAAAGTGAGAAGGAAAGTAAGAAATCACCCCCATGGAGGAAGGTCCCCAACAAAGACACATGTGGTTTTAGATACCTAGGCTGGCCTGAAAATATACCAGTGGTGTGTTCACATATGTGCCCAAGCTCATGACCAGCTAAAGGCCTAGGAAGGGAGATCATGGTATGATGGGATCTTGAGGGTACTTCTCTCTCCCTCTCTGTCTCTTTTTCAAGTGCCTACACACAATTATGAATTTTTTTAAAAGAAAGTAAGGGTGGGAACCAGCAGTTAGCGTGATGGCTATGTCGCTGGACTCCCACGTAGTTGACCGCGGTTTGCGTCCCGGACCCGGTAGCTTAAAACTCACGCTGGGCACGTGTGCGTGTGTGCCCAAGATCCCGAGAGGAGAATGGAGGAGAAGGGACTGCGGCGTGGCCATCCCCCCTGGGGGATGATTTCTCGCTTTCTGTCTCTCTGTCTCTCTCTATCTGGCGAGCGCATGCACCCTATAGCAAAAACCTCTAAGAAAAAAAAAAGATAAAAAATAAAAAAAGAAAGTAAGGGTCAGCAGGCAGCCTGCAGGTCAAGGCACTGGATTCCACATCGCAGACTGCATGGTTCAAAAATCACGCTGGACACGTGTGTGTGTGCCTAAAATCCTGAGGCGAATGGAGGGGAAGGGAACGTGGCATGGCCATCCCTCCTGGAGGGTGATTTCTCACTTTCTCTGTCTCTCTGGCAAGTGCATGTGCTCTGTGGCAAAATAAAACAAAACAAAACAAAAACAAAAACGGAAATAAATATATAAAAAAGAAAGTGAAAGTAAATCAATATATTTTATGCAAATATTATCCAAATGAACATTAATGTAACTATATTGATATCAAAATTAAGTTTCAGGCAGGTAAATAAAGTAGAATATTTTGTGATAATACAGTTAGTTCTAAATATATAAAAAGGGGACTTCAAAAAGGAAGGCAGAATTTGTGGAAATTTGGAATTAAAGTATGAGTTTATTTTGATACAAAAAATTTTGGAATCCATGCATAGTTTTTTTCTGTTTGTTTGTTTGTTTTGCTATAGGTGTGTATGTGCTCTCTCTCAGACAGAGAGAGAGGGAAAGTGAGAATTCACCCCCTAGGCAGGATGGCCATGCAGCAATCCCTCCTATTCCATTTTCCTCTGAGATTTTGGGCACCCAGGCACATATGCATGGTGTGTTAATCTTGTTGGCCATATGGGATTCATTCACCTTAACTTCCACACCATCTTCAAGTCCCTACCAAACAGTTTTTTAAGTACACATTTCCTATGAATTTTCTGAAGATCCCTTGTGTATAACTAAAAACATAACTTCAAACATACAGTTAAAAATTCACAAAACTAAGGAAATCCAATGGCAGGGGACTTTTATCTTTTTTTGCCCACTAACTGTGAGAAAAGGTGGACAAATGAATCAGTCTGTGAAAAACCTGAAGAGTATGGATAATGAAGTAGACCTGAATATGTATAAAGAACCTTGTACCAGATGGTTGCAGGCTACACATTTTTTTTTTTCTGATACACACGGCTCATTTACTAAAATTAGTTATGCTGGACTTCAACAGGTTTCAAAAGATTGAAATAATTCAGAGCATATTTCCTAACCATAGTGTATTTACTAGAAATCAGTAGTAAAATCCCCAAATGCATGGATACAAACAATGTACTTCTATATAACCTATAAGTCAAAGAAGAAACCATAAACTTAGTTGAAAATAATTTTGAACAGAATGATCATGAGGCTACAGCATATCAGAATTTGAAGGATGCAGCTAAATCTGTGCCCAGAGGAAGATTTATACCCTTAAGTGCATGTATCAGAAAAGAGATGTTAAAGTAAATCATCGAAGCCTACCTACAGAGTCACTGAAGAACAGTCCTAGGAAAGTAAAAA